CGTTTTATTTATTATATGTGATAAAAATACCCTTAACACGTGCGAGTCATATGCAATTGTGTCAATATTAATAAAAAATGAGTAGCTTTTGTTTAAAGAATAAAATATCTATTCAGTAAGATCATCTAACTGCTTAAGCTTTCAAGTAAAACGGTTCTTGAGAGGTTGGTTCATTATCAAATTAAAAGTAAAAACTTAAAAAAAAGAAAAGTAGAGTCGTCAATTACAATTGCATTTTATCGGGTCGACCTGATAATCTATTGATTTAGAATCGAACTACCATGACCCGGACCAGACCCAACCAACTTGTAGACAACATCTGCTCCAGCGTCATTGCATCAAGCAGAAGATATGCATGAATGATGAAGGGTGCCCATGAAGTGGTGTTAGTTCAAAGTTCAAACCTGTTATAGGGCTCTCAACGGGTCGGGTCCAGGTGAAATCGGAATTGACCCGATAAGATATATTAAGGACATGGAATCAAACCGGACCCGATAGGGTATGTAATTTTAGACTTAAATTTAAATCGATCAGTTCTTGGGACAATCAGCTCTGAGCCGATGGATCCAATTATAATATATTTATTAAAATTATTATATAAATAATATTAATTTATTTACTATATCATACATTTGAGATATATACATATATCTCTCAGGTCGGGTTTAAATCGGTTTGGGATTGAATAGAACCGGTTCCAAACTGATAAGATTCGGAACAATATATCGGGATCCAAACCCAGAACCAACCCAATCGATTTGAATCCATTGGGTCCAACCAGGCCCATTGACAGCCCTAGGATGAGCTAAAAGTTAGGTTGTAAGAGGCTGCGCGGCAGCTGCATGCGTATCCCTCTCTCCACTAACCCACGTTTGAGCCAAGAATGGGATCTGACTTTGACAACTTGTGTGGGCAAGTGGCAATCAACATCATATTGCTCTTCTGATCTAAGGATGATGGGTCTTACCAAGTCCCATTTATCGAATTCAAATCAGCATCCCATAAGATTGCCTCCCACAACGTCCCACAATATATCATCGCTGTGTATTGAGAATGTCTTCTGATGTTCTAAAATTATCATCAGATTTTTTTAATACACGACAAAGATGTACTGTGGGATGCTGTGAAGGGGAATTTTGTGGAAGGCTGATTTGATCTCCCATTTATCAGAAAAGTCTATCCCATTCCGACATCTGTTTTAGAAATTTGTTTTTAATCTTTTGAGGGTATGGCACTAGGCAGGCGGTATTTAAGTAATCACATAAATCATTACGATATCACCAAATTTGACCATGTAAGATCAATCACTATTATAAAACTTGTTTGCATATTATTATCTCTTTCTAATTAAGGATCTACAATCTTTTTAGTTTGATTGACATTTATAGAAAAAGATTTTGTATAATTTTTTTTTTAATGGGATTGGGACAAATGACGAAAGATCAGCACCACCAGGCATCATATGCACTAAACATTAAATAAACACGGGGCATTAGGGGAAAAGTCCAAAATAACATTTCCTCTCACATAACCGAGAAAGACATTTTCTTCATAAATGCTTAACCACATAGTTTTCAAAGTCGGATCGAACCGAAAAATTGGGGCGATCGGCTCCATTTTCCCTCAAAATCAGATTTTCTCTAAAAATTATTGATTTTGGCCAATAAACCCCTGACCTGGTCATTTAATCATTCGAACCGTTCGACCCGACAATTAAATCTTGACCAGTTCGGTCTCCGGATTGGTTTTAAAAACCATGATTAACCAAACAAAAAATTAGATTCTATATGGAGAAATACCTACTTAGTATTGAGTTATAGTCATTTAGAACCAAACAATAAGGGACTTGATGAGGGCAGGCTGCCAGTTCGTGCCAGGGCTAGGTCATGCCAAGCCGCCTACGATTGTATGTTTAGAACCAAACAATATACAATCATAGTGTATAGGGCTCTACGGCATGGGCAACACTACTGCTGAAAGACCTAGTCGCCTCTACGACATGGGCAACAATACTGTTGAAAGACCTAGTCGCCTCTACGGCATAAGCAACACTACTGCTGAAAGACCCAGTCGCCTCTACGACATGAGCAACACTACTGCTGAAAGACCCAGTCGCCTCTACGGCATGGGCAATACTACTGCTGAAAGACCCAGTCACCTCTACGGCATGGGCAACACTACTGCTGAAAGACCCAGTCGCCTCTACGGCATGAGCAACACTACTGCTGAAAGATCCAGTCGCCTCTACGGCATGGACAACACTACTGTTGAAAGACCCAGTCGCCTCTACGGCATGAGCAACATTACTACTGAAAGACCTAGTCGCCTCTACAGCATGGGCAATACTACTACTGAAAGACCCAGTCGCCTCTATAGCATGGGCAATACTACTGCTTAAGACCCAGCTGCCTCGTCGGCATGGGCGAAGTCCAAGAGTGGATTATAAGTCGCTCCCAGAACCTAAGGGCTAAAGTACTGAACTGACAGAGACCTCAGCACCTTACGGGCAGCTCGCTTCCAAGCAGCTCCCAGAGCCTAAAGAAACTGAATCAACGCCTACAAGCTCGTCGAATTACGGGCCAAAAGGAGAAATCTACTCCCTTTGCTGAGTTACTTTCAGTTCGGCAGTGGGGGGCAACTGATGATGGCGGATTTGGCCCTCCAGTGACATTATGACACCTGGCAGCCTCTTGACAGCTAAGTGCAGCCTCTTGACAACCAGGCAGCTCACTATAGGCAGTTTTCCACAGGCAGCTCACCACTAGGCAGCTCGCCCTCATGTAGCCTGGCACCTCAGAACAACTAGGTGACACCCGGGACCACTTTGACAACAACTTGCCTTTGCTAAGTTGATGGTGTCCCACCAGGCGACCTGGCACTAGCACGACCTGGCCCTGGCACGAGCTGGCAGCCTGGCCCTGGCACGACCTAGCCCTGGCACGAGCTGGCAGTCAGGCCCTAGCGCGACTTGGCCCTAGCACGAGCTGGTAGCCTGGCCCTGACACAACCTGGCAGCCTGGCCCTGGCACGAGCTGGCGACCTGGCCCAGGCACCGACCTGGTGGCTTGACACAGGCGCCAACCTAACAACCTCGAGGAACTCACCACCGTACCCCGCATTTCACGGGATTGTGACTTGTAACGGCTATATTAGCTCACCAACTCCTCGTTCTGACGGGAAGGGACAGTATTACCGTTTGACGGCATTTCATCCACCTAACACGCAACAAGTCCCATCACAGCGGGAATCCAAGAACTGGTCCACCTAACCCACGAGGACTCCAGTATATAAAGACCTCACCCCCAAGGGCGAAGGGGGAGATGTTAAGAGGCTAAGATGTAAAAAGGGATGGTAATCTCTGCTATCTAGCTCTCTCATTCTCTTATATCATCTTCAAGCTCTCTACTACTATACTGTGCTAACTTAGCCATCGGAGTGTCCCTGCCGGGTAAGCCACCCCTGGGTCCTCTGACATTTAGTTCCTTGCAGGCCTCTAAAAGAGCAACAAAGTTCATCAAGGTAGCTCACCACCAGGCAGCTCATCAAGGTAGCTCACCTCCAAGAAGCTCATCAAGGTAGCTCACCACCAGGCAGCCCATCAAGGTAGTTCACCTCCAAGCAGCTCATCAAGGCAGCTCAGCACCAGGCAGTTCGCCACTAGGTAGCTCGCCATCAGGGAGCTCCACTTCAGCCTTTAAGTCACAGACCACTTGGGAGCAGACGAGATGACGATGTACTTAGCCAAAAAATTGACACCAGAAACGGTTACATAAAAACTATTTAGCATATCTTTTATGGAAATATAACACGTCAAACGGGGTCCAAATCCTTCGCATTTTTATCTCTTTCCAATATAAATATGGGTCTCTAGACTCTCTACACTCGTACTCATCCCAACAAGAAGCCACGAAAGACAAGAATGCAAATCTGACTAGATTTGCACCACCACTTTGTTGTTGTTGTTGTTTGTGAATGTTTTTTAATTCCTGACGTATCTCAAATTAAAGCTTATGCTCCGATCCGACTGTATGTCGCATAAGAGAGCACAGACCAGCCTTTTCTGCGATTCTCTTGGAAAGTTGTTGGTCTCTAAAGCCTTCTCAGCCGTCATGTTTATTTATTAGTTTTCTTGGTGGTGCATTAATTTTTTGAAGCAAGAACAAATTGGAGCTGCAAGTTACCGTAATGGCTATTGAACGTTTTGGAACCCGACATTTGACCAATCACAACCAAGAATCGTGGGGGACTCATATTCTGGGCTTAATTTTAACTTTAATTCATTGGTTTTCTTTGATGTGGGGACTCATATTATCGATGGATGGGGGATTTGTCCTCTGGATGGTTGTACAAAGTCGTTTTTCTGGTGTCATATTCAGGCTAGAAACAGGCATGCAGACTATATATGCATGTTGAAAGCTATCGGTGCAAGAAGCGTAGATTTCAAACAAGTTAGTTGTCAATTCCTGGGTGATGGAATTCTTCTTCGTGATTCATGCTTGTAATTTTCATGGTATTAGAGACTTAAGAGTATTCTACTTTTCTTGTTGCATTGAAAATACCCAACTGTCGTCCAAATCCCTTGGCTTAGCTGTAGCAAACTAGCAACCGGCAATTGTAAGTCACATCTTGCGCCTCTCTGGTTCTATTTCTTATTCGGGTTTGATTGGAAATATCGAAATAAACTTCAGATATTAGTAGAAGACTGGTTAGTTTTCTTCACAATTTCAGATATATATTTAAAATGTAGCAGATTAACTGGGGTGGAGTTTTAAAATTTATACATTCATTGTCCTTTCTTTGGGCCTGTGAAATGTTTTAATGTCATGGGGGTAGACCATCCCCAGCCAATCCTGGTGCAGATTCCAAGCCTCTGGTACAACAAGTAGGAGGCCTTACCAACCAGCCAGTTGGCACTTTGTGTGAAATTTGCTGTCATGTTTATCTATTTAAGCTGGTCTCTTTTTTCCATGAAAGCCTGTAGATGATTCCAGGATATTTGTTTTCTTGGGACTCCTTGAAGAACATATTTGTTTTGTTGTTGAGGCTATACTCATATTTCTTTGCCAAACTGATTGCTCAAACTGCAAATGATCTCTGAGTTAATTACCAGCTAGTTTGAAGGAGAGAAATGTCTATGTAAGTTGTATCATTTATCCAAGTAAGAAATAGTTTCCGGGCTACAATTATTGATCAAATAGAACAAAATAGGGCAAAATTACATTAGTAAGATTTTGTTTTTATTAATCAGCACTCGTGAATATCTACCCATGCACTGCATTCATTCATTCTTTCAGCCATCCTATTATGAATTTGAAGTTCTATTTATACTCCATGACACCCAGATGCGGATTGATTTTTTTTTTAATCATTGTTTCTGTTTACTTGGTTTAGGATAGAATCCCTTGCAAATTGTTCTAAGAAAATGTACTGGTGGCACACAATCATTATTCTTCATAAGGCCTGGTGGAAAGAAAATGGTAGAGCAATGGTAGAGCTCCAGTTTATTTTATTATTATTCTTATTCTTATTCTTATTCTTATTCTTATTATTATTATTATTATTATTATTATCATCAATGATAGAGCTTCATCCAAGTCAATATATGTGATTGGTTATACTGAGAGTTCTGATTTATGATTTCTTAGTTATTGGAACAATACTGGATATTGGCCTGCTAAATTTCACCTTTTGTTGCCAACCAGAGAAGAAGGCCTCCACTAACAAGACGTTAGATCTTGAAATCTGATAACCAGGACCAAGTTTATTAAGACAACCATACAAATGAAACTTTGATCTCCCTCTTTTCAGTGCTTTCTTTTTCCTTTTGTGCTGGAACACCAGATGAAGCAGAGAGTTTACATATTCTGTTCTTTGTTATAAGTGTGCGGAATTCAGCAACTTTAATTCCTGTCTTTGAAAGCTTTGAAATTAATAGGGGTCATTTCAATTCTGTTGTTCGAAAGATTCCGAAACGAAAAGAATATAAAAGAAAGAAAGAAAGAAGGAAGACGGAAATCCAAGTCCGAAGCAAAGCTGTTTCAGAATTTTATGTTTTTCTTACTAGTTACTGGCTTATAATATTGTGAATAAAATCAACAGCATGTTCATATAATTAGTGGGGAAAGGTTCTATCTTTAGCTTTATGGCTAGAAGTGGTCTATGGGATGGAGTCTAGATTCCTTCGGGACTACCAGGAAATTTTCTGTCCTCTTTAAGGATTTCTTTCTTTCGTTTGTTTTTGGTTGGGGGTGGGGGATGAATCATGCAAAATTGTGGTTGAGGATAACTGACAGTTACTGACAGTTCTGAATGCATTGATCCTCAGCATCTTGTCATGGATTAGTGGATATTTCTTACTTCCACTTTCAGGGGGGAGTATTCAGTAGAGAGATCAGTTTCTGGTAATGAAATTTCTGCAATTTCTAAAATTAATTTGCCGTTTCACAAACCAAAGTAAAATGGTCTAATATTATTGTTTACAGTTTTCTGCTACTAACCTTTTTTACAGATCAGCTTGTCTACAAGCTATGCATTAATTTTGGAATAAACCAAATGTTAAATTAAAGAGTTCATCATTTAGATGAAATACAAATTCTAGCTGACCCCATATAGTTGGGACAAGGCTTAGATGATGAAATAAAACTTCTAACTAATACCTGAATGAAGATAAAACTAAAGGATAGTATGTAAAGAAGCTATATGCGCTATGTTTATCTGATACGAAACTGCTTTTATCTAGTAAATGGAATTCTTCTTTGTTTGCCTCCTAGTGAAAGAGCAAAGTATAACCAAAATTTCTTATATTTTATAGCTGTAAGTGGGTCGACATGGAGGACAACAAATGCCAGAATTTGCTGAAGCAGGATTCTCCTGAAGAACTTCCATCCCTTCTGAAGTATATAGAATCCAAGACAGTGTCTGGATTTGATGACATTGAAGAGTGTGGTAGCCTGAATCAACAACTTCAATCAACCGCTAGGACTACTCCAACTTCGGATCCTGTTTGTGCATTAGCTAAGGTAATTTGTGTCTTCAACAAAGCAGCTATTGATCATAGGGATATTGATCCTCATATGTCCCGACTTAATTTTTAATTGATTCATCATGTCTTTGATGACCTTGACAAGGTCTGGGTACATAAATGAGCAGTGTGAACAGTTTACATAATTACATCCTCAAATGGGTTTGAACTGGTGTCATTTACTTGTGTTGCCATGTCTTCATTTACTTGTTTTATTTTCTTTTTAAATATTGAGCTGTTATTCAATTTGTCTTACTGAACTATAAGCCACTGCTTTCCAGAGGCAGGAGGATGCATCTCAAGCCACTAATTCTGAACGGTTGCATTCTGTCTCTATCAGCATGCCTTCTTCTCCTTTGGGGAATGACTTGGAAAGCAATAGAAAAGTTTTATTAATGGATAATGATGAAATGGATGTTAGCAGAAAGAACCCAAACTTTAGAGACACACCAGTGGATGTTAGCAGCAAACAACCAAAACAAGCCAAGTTTCATTCTCAGCCCATTCCAGTAGCAGTAGGCATTGCATATGTTGATGCAGTTTGCAGTACTGGAAAAGCTTCTGGTCCTTCAGAAGGACAACTAAGGAACTCAAGGATTGATGAATTCAAGGACAAAAGTTTTGATTCTTTCAAAACATGGTCTGGAAGACTTGAGAGGCAGCTATCTCATTTACGTGGAAAGCAGTGTGATCCTGAACCAGAAGTTAACACTACACAGAATTCTGAAATTGAAGTTTTATCAGTGGACCGGTACTTTGATGCTTTAGAAGGGCCTGAGTTGGATACACTAAAGGTATGTGATTTTCTTGTCATATTTTTCCCCTTTTGTTTTTGGTGAACTTGTTATATTAATTCAGTATTTCAGTTAACATGATCTTTTCTTGTAAATGCTTTTCCTTTAATCCTTTCCATGGGTATATTTAATTAGCTCTAATATAAATAAATAAATAAATAGAAAGAAGAAATGATTGAATGAATTTGTATGCTCCTAATAATAATTACTGAACAGTAGCTAACAAGATTTAAATGCTCATTAATTTCCCATTCCCTTTCCAGGATTCAGAGGGGTTGGTGCTTCCAGAAGACAAGCAGTGGCCTTTCCTTCTGCGTTATCCAATATCTGCTTTTGGCATGTGTTTAGGGGTTAGCAGCCAGGCAATTCTGTGGAAAACCCTGGCAACCTCCACATCCACAAGTTTCCTCCACATAAACCTGTCTGTCAATCTTGTCCTCTGGTGCATCTCTATTGGTCTTACAGCCCTGATCTTGTTAATTTATTCTCTTAAATTTATTTTGTACTTTGAAGCTGTCCGGCGTGAGTATTATCACCCCATCCGTGTCAACTTTTTCTTTGCACCTTGGATAGCCTTCCTGTTCTTAGCTCTTGGTGCCCCACCTTCACTTGCCAAAAACCTGCATGCAGCTCTCTGGTACATTTTGATGAGCCCAATCTTCTGTCTTGAACTCAAGATCTATGGACAATGGATGTCAGGAGGTCAGCGGAGGCTTTCAAAAGTGGCAAACCCTTCAAACCATCTAGCCATTGTTGGGAACTTTGTGGGTGCATTGCTTGGTGCATCTATGGGACTAAAAGAAGGGCCTATCTTCTTCTTTTCTGTTGGGTTGGCTCACTACATAGTGCTATTTGTAACTCTTTACCAGAGGCTTCCAACAAATGAGACACTTCCAAAGGAGCTCCATCCAGTGTTCTTTTTGTTTGTTGCAGCACCTAGCGTTGCTTCCATGGCGTGGGCAAATATTCAAGGGTCGTTTGATTATGGCTCAAGGGTTGCTTACTTCATTGCATTGTTTCTGTATGTCTCACTGGTTAGTCTCTCTTATCTCTTGTATGTATTTCTGAGTTCACAAAACAAACAAACAAATCATTTCACATTCATCTAAGAAATTCAATCTATTCAAAATAGGGGATGTTTAGGGGGGTTGCTTGCTTGCCAATATCTATTATTTTATTTTCTAAAGGAAAAACAACTGCTACATCAGTAAAAATAATATTGTAATCAGTCCCTAAATCTGCCCTCACTACTGAAGTTGGATGTGTGATGGAATTTTTGGGATTCGCTCTTTGATGGGTCCCTTACTACCTGCACTCTCCAATGGAAAATTTCCATTTCCTACTATGCTACTTCATATGAGGGACCCTCACATGAGGGCCTATTAGGATTGAAATGTGGACAAATACAGGTCCATCCATATCTTGTGCTGAAATTTAATTAATTATAATGGAGTGACGAGGATTGAACACTAAATCACTTGGTCAAACAGTTTCTGGTGCCATCTCAAAGAACCTTCGACCTAAAGACTTAAGCTATTAGTTGAGATCCTTGAATAGGATTTTATTCTCTAGCACAGTCACAGCAAAGTATCTGCAATCGCAGCTTGTATTGATATTTATTGTTCTTTTCAACTTTATAACATAAAACACATCTTAGTTATTTTATTTTGTTACTTTGGATCACTTTGCAGGCTGTTCGGGCTAATTTCTTTAAGGGGTTCAGGTATTTTTTCTTCTATTTTTTTCTTTGATTTTTAAGTAGCCATTATCTTTCCCCTCCTTTACATCCACATTTCTGAATTTTATTTACATCCCATACCACAGGTTTTCACTGGCGTGGTGGGCATACACTTTCCCAATGACAGGGGCTTCCATTGCAACCATCAGGTACTCAAGTGTAGTAAAAAATCCAGTAACACAATCTCTGTCTGTCATACTCTCTGCCATTTCTACTCTCACAGTGACAGCTCTGCTCATCACCACCATCCTTCATGCCTTTGTATTTCGAGACCTCTTCCCCAACGATATTGCCATTGCAATTACAACAAAAAGGCCAAAAAAGAGTAAGAAGCAGTTCCATCTGAGTTCTGGAAATTCAGATGCCAAAGATATTGAAGCTTCTTTGAAATCTGCTGGTTCAGATGGTGAAGGCACAGAAGTTTCTCTGAGATCTATAAGCGTAGATAAAAAATAGAAATGAAAGCTTCCTGCCTAATTAACCAGTACCCATGTTGTATAATCAAGCTCATGGTGTCAACACCATGCCGGATTTTCTGTTTTTCTACTTGTCCTACTTGAGAAAAGACTAGTTTTCATCACTCGGATGGTCAAACAAGGTGGTGATGGAGTTTTGTATCAGTAGTCATGGATAAATGTACAGTGAGACAATTGAATATAAGACTAGGAAGGTTGTGAAAAAGGTGTATGAGAAAATGGGAGGGATGAACCAATGATATGAATGGGCTCCCCCTTAGTGTTCCTTGTACAAAATAAAAAATAAAAAAATACTCTAACCAATTCAGTGATTGTGATAATCTGGTGTGTCAAGTTTTTCTTTTGCTTTTTCTTTTTTATTTTTTGAGAAAAGGAGATCTTCTAGTTGGCATCTGTTGATTGTATACCATGGGAATATCTATTCTTTTGGGATACCCTAAATATGGTAGAAATTTTCATGTATACAAATGATCATTCTGGGGAAGCTTCAGGTTTTATTGGCAGGGATGAAATATATATGTATTTTGTGCATTGAGAGCCTGTGTTTATGGATGATCGGTTCCTTAATTTTCTGGATCAAATTAAGGAATAAAGTTTAGTGATTAATTAAAAATCTTATTACAATTATAAATAATATTTTAATTATAAAATTTATCTCTCTCTCCATGGGATGTTTTAGGGCCCAGACATCATCACTATTTATATTGATGAAACATTAATGTGTTTGTCGAGCAAACGCTATAACAAGGTGGCCAGGTGGGTCAAGAAGATGACTCTAATAGATTGGATCATTACATAACCCAAAAGTGATCGCTCCAATTTATTTAGTTATTGATTCAAACAGATCTTAATTGATTCCGTTTAGTCTGCCAAATCTGTTATATAATTATTTATAAAATATATCTTGAAAGTAAATATTAGAAACACTATCCATTTCATTACTAATTAACATGTTTTTGTTAAAATATTAATTTAATTATAAATTACATTTTTAATAAAATATTTTTCTGTTATATTTTCAAAAAAAATGTTAAAATTTTGCTATTTTTTTCTAAATCATGTGAAAATTTTATTGTTAACTTTCTAAAGTGTTTTCCATGAACATGAATTTTCTCCTTATATGTCCATCGTGATAAACTTAATTTTTTTAAGCATTGACCAGTAGATCAAATGGATTAGGTCGTTTTCCCAGCTTTGTCAAGTCCCTAGGAGAATAAGAAAGTAGAAGAAGAAATGAACCAAGGGTCTAAAAATCCTTATGAAGTTCATGGATTGGATCATTTGAATACCAAAAATGTCCAACCCACTAACTTCAATTACCAATCCACCTGCTAGCTTCACTTATGAGTTCATACCAAATTTGAATGATCTTTGATCGATTCAACTCGGTTATGCAATTTTGAAAACAGAAAGATCAAATAAGGGAAATCTTTACTAAAAATTAATTTTATTAATTAGAAAATAATAGAAAATCAGAAAAATAAGGGAACATAACGGAAAAATTATTAATAGTTTTATTAATAAACCAAAAACAATATATTAAGGAATTATTTTAAGAAAATAGAAAATAACAAAAAATTAGAAACTTAATTTTTTAATTAATTGATAAAATAAGAGAAATTTTCACTAAAAATATCAAAAGTTTTTTAACATATTAAAAGTTATAATTAGCAAGAAAATATTAAAAATCGAAAAGAAACTAAAAAATAAAAAGAAGGAAAAAATTAAAAATCAGCAACTTACATTATATAATTAACTTCTTAAGTAACTTATTAACTAAAATAAATTAAATAATGTTTTATTAATTTACTCAAAAATTAGTAAAATGATTTTTTGTAAAATTTATAAAAAATAAAATTTAAATTATTTATAAAAATTAACATATTAAAAACAATAAAAATGTTAATAGAATTAGCAAAAATAATTTTATTAGTTAAAATTGATACAAATTAATAAAAACATAATTTAATTAAAAAAATTATTTTTAGGTTTAAGTTAATAAAAAAGTAACTCCCTCTCCTTAATCCCTTCTAGATCTTTGGGTTTTTTTAATGTATATATAATACATAACCGAAGAATAATAATGCTAAGATGGATAGGGTTTAGCTTTACCCAATTACAAATGTGCTAAGATTCTTGTCTGAATGTCACTTAACGAAGCATGTGCATCGCATTTAAGAGTAAGAAAACTAATAAAGTGTAATAAAAGTAGTAAAAATTATGATTTATCTAATAATATATATGTAACCCAAAAATAGTTTGGGTTGGTCTTGGTGCCACTTGGTCCAAGGTTTTAAAAACCGACTTGGAATCGGAACTGCTTTGGCCATCAGTTTCTAGATTAGTGGTTCGACCATCTGGCTCGAATGGATAGCTTGTTTCAATTTAAAAGAAATTAAGAAAAAAATATTAAAATAAAAATGGCCAAAACCGTTGTCTGGGTCGACAGTTAGACCACTAGGGTTAGTGGGTCACTGACCAAATCAACAGTTTTTGGCAAAGGACCAGGTTAAGGGTGAAATGGAACTAGTTCCTGAATGGTTCTTAGGTCGAATGGTCCAACCATTTGGGTCGATGATGATTCAAAAACACTAACTTGGTCCAATTGGTATTTTCACAAGGATCCTACCACAATTTCTTTTATCAACACAAGCACATCATTTGGGGCCCAACTAATAAAAGCAAAAAACTATTAATTAGTAGGTAAAACCTATAGTCTTAGGGCCTATTTGGCAAGTCTTTCCATGCGGGCTGTTGGCTGTTTAGAAACCCAACAACCCGCATATTGGTTTTTATGACAAATGATTCAAAATTACCTTGTTTCTTGGTCTTCAAGTACTGAGGAGAATTCCTCTTCCAGTTGTCGGCCTGTTTGCAGAGGTGACAAGCATCTAATGCCTTGTGCTTCCTCTGCTTTTTGGGCTTGCTAGTTTTTTTCTAACGTTTCTTCTTTGCCTTCCTCTTCTTCCTACCCGATTTGCCACCTTCAACAAGCATGGCAATGGGTTCATCCTTCTTTATCAGTTCTTCGGTCCTCTACAACATATTGTTGAGTTCCTATAGGCTAACATTTAGCTTGTTAATATTGTAATTCATTATGAACTGATTGAAAGGAAGGAGGCAAAGAGTTCATGATGGCATCAACTTTGCTGACATAATCTAGCCCAGATCCAAGAGCTTCCAATTCATTGATGTACCCTATCATCTTAAGACAATGGTCATGAACTAGCTGGTTCTTGGACATTTGTGCGGTCATAAACTGCTTTAGGACCTTTTGACGAGTAAAACGATTCTGCTCCTCATACATTGTCCTTAGACTATCCAAGATATCTTTGGACACTTCAATCTGATCAAATTTTCGTTGTATCTGATTGTCTAAGGAGGCTATGATATAGCACCGGGCAAGAGAGTTTTTCTCTTCCCATTCTTGATATTCCCTCCTGCGGGCCTCAGAAGCCCTATCACTCAGATGATCCAGAGCAGGGTTCTTAGAAACCTTGTCCAATTTCTCGGACGTCAAAACCAGCATAAGATTACGATACCAATCAGCGTAATTTGGGCCCTTAGGCTTATTATCGTCCAACAGTTTGGCGAATTGTCTGTTTGTCATTTCTGATAAAAGGCAAAGCAAATATTAGTCCACAACCTGATTTGATTCATGCTATCTAGATAGATATGGCTTTTAATCTATGTTCCATTTCCATTTGTTCATCTCTGATATTTTCCTCCTATCTCAGTGATGGAGACTGCAAACTTATGTCTCTGAAAATATGGGAAACCACATAAGATGCATGGAGCCAACTATTTCAGCTGCATAACCCCACCACCTTCTGTGAAGAATCACATCCACTCATCTCATGAGCTTTCCCTTTGGCCTCTATCAGACAAGGTTCATTGCCATTTTAGGTTAAACCTTTCTGTCCAGTGAGTGCTTATCCATCATATTTGTGAACGCCAAAGTACCGTGAGAGAGTCTTCCATTTTAGAATAGGCCCCTCCCACATTGATCTATGACGCCTCTATCATCTTATGAAACAATCCAACAAATCCAGCAGCAAATGGATAGCCCAATTTTATGGTGCATTTCCTCATTACTGAAGGACCCATCTTCATGTTAATGATGAAAGGCCTTTAGAGAGTTCATCATATGAATCTCCTTATCGCATTAACTCATATTACAGTGGAGGGAACGAAATATTACGCCCTAATTTTATGTAGGTTAAACCAAAGTGTCTCCCACTGACTTTCTCAAAGCCAGATTTAAATGGGCCCTAAACGGCTAGGGTTCCGCACGGTTCCTCTTGGGGAGGAAGCTTATGTAGGGCCCACCAAACGGGAGATCATCCAATGATCTTACGGACACCATGGCAATGATGTGCATTCAACCATGGTGTGCGAAAGAGCCACTATCAAAATAATCATGGGCCAAGTACTTATGGTCCATGTACGTAGCATATCACACATCCATACATCACATGCATGAAATAAATTAATCCAATCAATTAGAGTATCTATAAAAACCTTAATTAATTAGATTAAATCAGTATTAGCCCAACAAAGCCCATAATGTTATCATATAACATTATCTAGGTACGTGGGTTGTACTGCAAAAAGCAGTTTGGCTCATGTAGCTAATTTAGGGCTGATCACTATTATATTAAAATTAGGTTTTCTACAGAGGTGGGCCAAATTAAAGATTGAAGTGGTTCATCAACTCTTTGGACTGAATCGAATTAGGGTTAGAAAAACCAACCCCATCGAACCAACAATTTGATCCAACCAGTTTGGACCAAATCTGTGTGTAAATCAGCCCAAGTTTTGGTGTCCGATTCAAGAATAATGATCAGAAAATAAATTAATTCAAGATAATCAAATTATCAAGATACTAATATCAGAGGGTTGCACTGTGATTTTCTTGGATATCCTGCAAAAATGCAAAGAATAGTTAATCGCAGATTGTAGAACGATATCGGTAAAATCGCAGATCGCAGAACTTATTTCTGCGAAAATTTCTTCTCCTCTGTTGCGTGCTCCACCGATCTCCAGATGGAAATAAAATAGAAAAACCTAATTTTTCTATTATTACATCACATCGAATTCCTATACAATTTGTCTAAAAAAAATTATTTATAGACCATAATTGAATAGAGGAGAAATCGCAGGGTGTGCCAATCTTGGCACCATAAAGATTCGATCTCCATCACATGTGCAGCCCAAAAGTTCAAGAAAAATTCACAGAACTATTCTATAAATTTCAGAGAATAATAAAGATTTATTTTCCAGATCATTTGCCCATAATTTGGGAACCAATTCCCA